TGATAACCAGCCACTAATTGAGCTAATTACTAGTTTCATAGCAATTTTTAACAGGAAATATTCGCATCTTTCGAAATATTTAACATGCGTTAGCCTCGAAACAGGTTGGATCCCCCTTTTTGGGCTGAATTTTTACTCGGCTCTCACTTTTCGAATGGAAAACGGCCCTCCCTAAAAATGGCCATAAAGACCGGAGAAATTAAAACCGACCCGGCCGGAGGGCATTAAAAGTGGAGTAGGGTTACAATTAACCGAATTAGGCGAAAGGATATCCGACACCTATTATTTGGGGGTAAAATGGAAGAGTAAAATACGGGAAGAATTATATGGCTGAATTTGTAAAGATGTTGACGAATTTGGCGTTGGCTAAAATTAAAATTTTTGAAGACATTTACGAGAGGTTTAATTTGGGAGTTACTGAGATCAAGGTGGTTTTAAGGCCAAGAATTTTTTTGGAAATATGGAAATTTTCATATCAGACGGTCGGCGGGTCATAGCATGGCGAAATTTTTTTTAACCGGGGAAGCACTCCAAGTGAGACGCTCAGATTTTGATGAAACTTGGCACAAATTTAGAATATTTTTTTCTAAGATATATCCGAGAATCCTTGCTCGCGCTTTGCAGAAACAACCGAGATTTTAAGATCGAAAGTCGGCCAAAATTTTGGACTTTTTGCCGAATTTCGGCACGAAAAGTTTCATGCCTATTTCAACCGTAAAGGATAATATTTCTACAAAAAATCAAATTTTTCCGTACGAAACTGCCAAAGTTATGGCAAAAAAGCGTTTTTCTCTCTGACCGCTCTCCGAGTTTAGCGTGCTCTCTCGGCGGCAAAAATCGTTCAATATCTCGGCAGTCCCCGGCAAAGCGCTAGCTAAAACTTTCTGGAATTGATACTTAGTTCATGACCAACGTGTGTGCAAATTTTAAAGAAAATCTGAGCGTCGCATTTGGAGTACTTCCCTTGTAAGTACAAGAAAAATTTTGTCCATTTCTTATATGGCAAAAAAATGTCCTCAAAGAAATCACTGTTTTCCACACGAAACCGGCAAAGATGTTTCCAAAAAAATCTTTTTTCACAACGGTATTAGGTGTGCAAGGTTTTATGCGTGTCCTAAGAAGACGAGAAATCTTCAAAAAAAATCGATGGAATAGGTTCAAATATAAAAAAAGCTACTGCAAAAAGTCTATAAAACTCTATACATAATTATCCCTATTATTCATAATTCAAATCAAAACGCAAAACAAAGGGAAAATAAAGCTGAAAAAAGCCCAACGAACAGCTGGATTCGGCTCTCGATGAACTCAATCGATCATTTCTGTCAGCCAAAAAAAACGAATGAAAATATATATATGCATATTAGGGGTCAATCAAGATTGCGCATTCGCCTGAAAAGTCATTCGATTTTGGATACCGGAAAATTATAAAAAAAAATTTTTTTGGCAAAAAAAAAATATTTTTTTAATTTTAATTAAAATTATTTTTTTTTTATTTTTCTTTGAGAATTCAAATAAAACCTTAAATATTCTCAAATACTCCGCAGTAAAAACGATTACTTTCCGGAAGTACTGTACTATAAAATTCATCGAAAATATTCTCCCACCCAAGTCGAGAGTTTCCGCTTTTTCTCCATTATTTCGGAAACAAATGGAAAAGTGCGGGAAATAACAGATGGCTCGGGCAATGTTGCGTTGATTTTTATACGACAAATGACGAGAGACGGTAACTGAAATTTTTATAAAATGAATTTTAGAGGATGTGAATAAGTTGAGTTGATAAAAAAATAAAAAGGGCAATAAAAATTTTTTCATTATTTATATTTTTTTGCCCAAAAATTGTCAAAATATCCAAAAATTATTTTTTTGCTTCAAAATAATAAAAAAATTTATTTCAAGAAATTTCGATTTTTTTATTTTTTCACTTTCAAAAATTTTTTTTTTAATTTTGATATTTATTTTGCCAAAAATATCAAAAAAAAATCGAAGATTTATTTTTTTAAACTTTTTATTGAAAAGAAATTTCGCCTTTTTTTATTTTTTTTTAATTAAAAAAATTTCATTTCTATTTTTTTATGAATTTTCTGACCATTTTTTCCAGAAAATCTCAAAAATTACTCATCTTATAACATTTCTCCCCCCAATCCACCCGTTTCCTAAAACATTCCCCAATTCGGAATAGCCATTTGGCCTTCAAGTGTCCAAAATGCAATACGAGAAGTTCGGAGATTTTGCCGGGATTAAATTTGCATATCAGATAAAACTTTGTGTCCATAAAACGAGTATATGCCATAAATGTAGCGAAAATAGAGGCAAAAAAAGGAAATTTGACAACGATTTCCTCGAGTGTGGTCTTATAGCGAAAAAAGCGCCGATAATCCTCGGAATGTCAGGGAATAGTGCGGCCATAAATATTATTGTTGGTTATTGAGTCACAGTGGAGGGGGAAATGCAAGCGAGCTATAAGTTCTTATTGTTAGCCAACTTTAGAATGCTTAGTTTGCTGAAAATAATAAGATTGATTAGGTCCAATAATATCTTACCACTTATTTTTAGGTATTTTTCATGTATAATACTCACAAGGGAAGTACTCCAAGTGCGACGCTCAGATTTTGATGAAACTTGGCACAAATTTAGAATAATTTTTTCTAAGATATATGCGAGAATTCTAGCTCGCGCTTTGCAGAAACAACCGGGATTTTTAGATCGAAAGTCGGCAAAAATTTAGGACTTTTTGCCGGATTTCGGCACCGAAAATTTAATGCCTATTTCTACCGTAAAGGATAATATTTCTACAAAAAATCAAATTTTTCCGTTTTAAACTGCCAAAGTTATGGCCAAAAAGCGGTTTTCTCTCTGACCGCTCTCCACGTTTAGCGTGCTCTCTCGGCGGCAAAAATTGTTCGATATCTCGGCGGTGCCCGCAAAGCGCGAGCTAAACCTTTCAGGAATTGATACCTAGTCTATACCCGACGTGTGTGCAAAATTTAAAGAAAATCTGAGCGTCGCACTTGGAGTACATCCCGTCAGCTAAAACTAACGAATCTTTATTTTTTGCAGTAAGTTTTGGTTGTTTCTGTGTTTCAATAACTCAGGGTTCAGCCTGTTGCTTGGTAGCTAAGGTTAGAAAATTCTATTTAAACTCTTGGCCAAGTCTCCGCCGAGCCTTTGCCGACCGTCCGTGAAATTCAATTTGGTTCTGCATATGTAAGTCTCTTCTAGACGAGTTTTTCACGCTCTTTCAAGTGATATATGTTTGTAGAAAGAGCCCTTGTCAGGCGCATCTCAAAGCACCTAACAAGGGAAGTCGTTCAGATCGCAAATGAACTATGACATGAGACCTGTGTGGTTTTATAGTCACATACTCTACTATATCGAATATAAAGGCATTTTTGTGTCTGGGCCCCCGCGGCCGAGAAAATCGACTATAAAGTTTCGCAAGAAGAGAGCGCCGAAAAAGTCCTCTCTCCGAAAGCAAACCCAAACAGCTGCCCAGTTGGCCAAGTGGAAAGAGCGCTCGTCTAACGAATCTTCTTTTGGGTCGGGGGGCTGGGTTCGATTCCTTTCACCTGCAATGTAAAGGGTAAGACTACTGTGTACACTACAGTATGCGTAAAAAAAAATTTTTTTTTGTGTTTTTCCAATTTTATGTAGATTTGTGCCTTTTCTTGAGACAAAAACAAACAAAATTACTAATTTTTTTATTTAACTTTTTAACTATCATTTAACAACAGTCGTGAACACATTCAACAAAATGATGAAAACAAAGTTTTTGATTACAGTACGAGCACAAAACAAAAGACAAGATGTCACAACTAGAAGCAGAACAAGTTGTGTGGACATCATGGGGGAAACAATACTCCACTGGAGTCTTGAAGGAAGGAGGCCTATTGTCAAGATAACCTCCTTTGAAAAACGAATACTTCCTGGAGTTATCAAAGACTGGATTTTTAAATTGAGAGTAGAAAACATTTAAAACAATTAAAATGTTTTCCCTTTTGTACAAAGGGAATTTTAGATCGTTGGCGAGGACGTGACTATGGATTCGCCTCACAAATCCTTTGAAGATACGGAAAAAGAATAGGTCAAGTGGCTGAATCAAGGAGGTACAGCGGGTGGGAATAGTTTTCACATCGACTGAACGTCCTTCCGGACGTTCAGTCCACTGCTATTGTTGTCCACAATCTCATCGTCCGTTTGAACCTCAATATTCGCGTTTCCGCCGCTTGAGACAGCAGAATCTTCAGTCGGGTTGCCATCCGAATCTCCTCGTAAGTCGCGTCTTCGGAGTTCCCGGTTCCGAACTCGGCCAAGAGGAGAGCCACAACATTTTTAGGCGCCAATCCCATGTCCAAACAAAATCAAAGAGTGATAAAAAATCACTTTACTTCCTTTCGACAACTTTCCGATAGCCTTGCGGCGTAGCCGCAGGAAGCTCTCCGATTATCAATCCAAGTCATGCCATTTTTAACAGTCTGGAGAAAAGTCGACTAAATTTGTTTGTTTTTGTCTCAAGAAAAGGCACAAATCTACATAAAATTGGAAAAACACAAAAAAAATTTTTTTTTACGCATACTGTAGTGTACACAGTAGTCTTACCCTTTACATTGCAGGTGAAAGGAATCGAACCCAGCCCCCGACCCAAAAGAAGATTCGTTAGACGAGCGCTCTTTCCACTCGGCCAACTGGGCAGCTGTTTGGGTTTTCTTTCGGAGAGAGGACTTTTTCGGCGCTCTCTTCTTGCGAAACTTTATAGTCGATTTTCTCGGCCGCGGAGGCCCAGACGCAAAAATGCCTTTATATTCGATATAGTAGAGTATGTGACTATAAAACCACACAGGTCTCATGTCATAGTTCATTTGCGATCTGAACGACTTCCCTTGTAAGATATATTACAAGCTTCTTGTGATTGCCCCAACATAAACTTTAATGCTTTACTTTATTATCATGCATCCAGATTACGAATAAATTATTGATTTCCAGCCCAATTTCAACGCAATTCCTTAGGCCAACGCCTTCTTGATGGCCTTCAACAATGGGAACTTCTCCTTCTTGCACACGTTCTCAAAGTCGTCGAAATCAAGAGTCCACACAAAAACTCCGGCCAATCCATTGGTCTTGGCGTAGGTGGCCTTCAACCCCACCGATTTCTCATCATCGTAGTTGTACCATACGTTGCCCTGCTGCGCATAGGGGGTTTTGGTTTTGTCGTCCCAGGCCTCCTTTCCTCCTTGCTGGAGCACTTGGCACACCTCGTAGTAGGCCAGGACTCCTTGGGTTTGGGTGGCGGCCAGAGCTGGAGATGGGGATGGAGCTGGTGAGCCGGGGCCTTGGTTCGGGGCGCTTGAGGCCAAGGTCCAGCCGCGGCCGTAGGTGGGGATTCCGAGGAGGATCTTGGCGGCGGGGAAGTTCTGAAGGATGAAGGAGTAAAGTAATTTAACTTCTACTTAACGTCGTCAATTTTTAAGCTCCTACCTTCTTATAGAACTGAGTCAAGTAGTCCACGGTGAATTTTCCCTCTCCATACAGTGGCGCGTTCTGCGCGGTAACCTTATCCCAAGATCCATGGAAATCGTAGGCCATGATGTTCAACAAGTCCAACGAGTCCTTGAGGCCGGCAAAGTCATAGATTTGCTGCGCATTGTCAGCATTCGGACTGACAGCAGCGGTAACCAAGAGTCCGCCAGCGGCTTGCTTCACAGCCTTGATCAGTTGGGTGAACAAGTCCTTTTGGCCGGCGGTCGGGAACTCCCAGTCAATGTCGACTCCATCAAAGCCGTTTTTCTTCGCGAACTCGACGGCGTTCTTCGCGAACAGCTGACGGGACGCGTCGCTAGCCGCAATCGTTGGGAAATCGCCGAAGGAAGCGCCGCCAAACGAAAGGATCGTCTTCAATCCGGGGTCCTTCTGCTTCAACGCCTGCAAGTCCTTGTAACCTTTGGTCAAGTCGCTTGGCTCCGTGGGCGAGATGGTTCCAGCCGCATCCGCTTTGGCGAACGCGTACCAAATGTGCGTACAAACGCCCGGCTCATACTTGTCGATGCTCCACTTCCCGGGCTCGGGACGATATTGTGCCCAGTTCGTCAGATAACAGCCTCGGATCTTGCCGGCCGCCTCGCGACGCACAATCGTCTTGCTGCTCGCGGCTCCCGCCAGAAGAACAAGGGCTACAATGAGTTTCATTTTCGGAAATACTACGGAACTACCAACCTTCCGTCATCTTTTATACTCCTGGATTATGGGAGGACACTTGTTGAGTTAGCGTCACGAATCTTCTTTTGTCCCAGAAAAGTTTGCCCAACTGCCGCTGACATTGTAACGATGAGTTGTTAGTTGTCCATGTTCGTAGAATAGCAAATCAGCGAGGAAGTTGAGACTTGCAGTTGAACAAACAGGTCAAATTTGCCGTCAACGGTTATGAATCAGGACAAAAAAGTGGGTAGTTGGACTCGTTTGTGAGATAATACACGTATGTTCTAAAAATAATGATACGTTTATTTAGAAATTGCGAAAGAGTCAAAAGGTTGTCTGAAGCCATGCTTTTTTTCCGTGGGAACTGCTCTCGAAGTCTTCTTCGATTTGAGTCGAAAACTGATAACACAACTTGCCAAGAGTCTAGATTATTTGCTCATGAGCCAATTTGATCTTCTTCGCAATGTTGAATGACGAGACACCAACATTCTGTTGCCTATGTGGTGTGAAATATCTTTATAAAAACGCCCGTCTGTCCATGCAAAGTTACTAATTATACATATTATATATGGCCGAAAAAAGCAGTTTGTGACCTCTATAACTCTGGCTTGACATGAAGGATTGGATATGTCGGCTGTTGCTGCAAACTGCAGGCTAAACTTTCAAACCAATTTATTCTAGGGCTACGACGGTGGTCTTGTTGTGAGCCGGTCTTCTTTTGTCGTTTTGTCCTAGAACAGTTTAATCAACCTTATAGAAAACAGATGTATTTTCCAGAATTGTCATGTTTTTTGTTAGGGCAAAAAAACAATATTCTCCAAGCACTGTAAAGACAGATCAAACGAAATGTAGTTTTTCGCAGAATTCTGGAAATAGCTGACCAAATAAGAAAGCCTTTGGCAAATATCCAATTTTGCTTATACTATTCATACAATAAACAATAATTTTATTAGACAATCATCAAACGACATCTTAAGACTAACCTTCAAACTTAAGAGAATATGTTCCCTAAATGGGACTGAAGTTATTTCACAAAAATCAAAGCGTCCAAGTTGAAGCTGAGTCGCTGAGATTTTCAACGATCGTTTGAGAGGATAAGAAAAATGAAATGAGCCAGCCAGACGAAACAAAAACGATTTTTGGCTGTTTCTTCTCTCAGATTTTCTTTAAACTTTGTACACAAATCGGGTATAGGCTTGTCGATTCTTGAAATTAATAGCTTGCGCTTTGCTGGGCAACTCGAAAGATTGAGCGATCTTTGTCGCTGAGAGAGTACGCTTACCATGGAAAGCGGGTAGAGAGAACAGCACTGTTTGGTTGTACGTTTGGCGGGTTCGCGTGGAAAAAATGGATTTTTTTGTGTGGAAACATTACCTTCTACGATAGGAATAGGCACAGGACTTTTCGTGTTAAAATTTGCGAAAAAATGCAACACTTTTGCCACTTTTGTCCTATAAAATCTTTGTATCTGCAAAGTGCAAACTATGAGTCTCACATACGTGGTAGAAAAAATTATTGTAAGTTTGTCCCAAATGTCATCAAAAATCTGAACATCTCCCCTGGAGCACTGCCGCTGTCAGCATAAAAGCTTTTAGCATGACATTTCCCGCAAGTTATTTTGATTGATTGTTTTTGTCTCGATCTGACATTTGTAACGGAAATCCCTTTCATTTTTTGCTTCTCAAGGCATCGCCGAGTTCAACAACATCCATCGCAACGTTCACTTTTCATCTTTTCATTCCCGCCGCTGCAGCCTCTGACTCTGTTTGATGTATGTATTAATTGTCAGCGTCAAGTTCAAGCTTATCACCCGTCATAAAACCCCTTCCTCCGCGCTGCCAGCGGCTTAACAACCAGTTAACGGCGCGACGTTAACCGGCTCCGAACGGGTTCGCCCCGCGGGATTCGGATTGATAAAAACGAAACCGGATAAACCCAAAAAACAAACGCACCGAAGACGATCAAACAATAAAAACACGGGGAAGGCAGTCGGGAAGAGTTGATGCCGGGCGGCGAGGTTAACTTTTATAATAGGATCCCATTTCATTGTTATTCCTCCCCCTTCCGGTATTTGGATTTCTGTTGTGAGGAGCTCGCGTTCTCTTTTGTAGGATGGGCATTGGGAACCCTTGCTTTGGCTCCCGGAGTCAGCGGTTTGTGCAGGGGCGGGAAGTAAAGTTTTTGCCGGGAATGGCGCTTTGTGAAAACGAGTGAGATTTTGAGATTTTTTTGCAACATTTAGCTTGAAAAGTTTGATGCTTATTTCCACTGTAGAGGGTAATATTTCCACAAAAAATCAATTTTTTCCGCGCAGAACTGGCAAAGATATCGCCAAAAAGTGTTTTCCTCTCTGAACTTTCTCCGCCTCATACGTATTCTCTTGGCGGCAATGTTTGTTGAATATCTCGGCTGTCCCTGCAAAGCGCTGGCTAAAAATTTCAGGAAGTAACATGTGGTATATGGCCAAAGTGTATGCGTAGTTTAAAGGAAATTTGAGGGTAATGCCTCCACAAAAAGGACTATTTTTCCGGACAAACTTGGCCTAGGTATAGCCTGAAAATTGTTTGTTTTTTCCCTGATCGCTCTCCGCATTTTTCACACTCTCTCTTTAGGCAAATGTTGTTGAATGTATCTGTCAACAGTCGTTAAATATTTCATCTGATTCTGCAAAGCGAGAGCTATAAAATTTTCTGGAACTGATTTGTAGTGGGTTATCAATCTGTCGGGAAAATAATGTGGATTTTTTGCGCCTTCAAATCGTTTAAAAAATCCTATAGCCACGATCGTAAGAGTTGAATCTGGACCCTGAAAACTTCAACTGATCCTATAGCAGTCTGTCGGGAAAATAATGTGGATTTTTTGCACCTTCAAATCGTTTAGAAAAATCCTATAGCCACGATCGTAAGAGTTGAATCTGGGCCCTGAAAACTTCAACTCATCCTTTATCAATCTGTCGGGAAAATAATGTGGATTTATCTTTGAAATCGCCCATCATCGCTTTGCGACGGCTAGTGGCGGCTAAAGATTTGGTCTGCTACTGTGACGATGCAAGAATTTTCGCCGCGACAAATCCACATTATTTTCCCGACAGACTGGCACAATGTAATCACCGACTTCCGCACAAAGCTTAAAATAGCCTCTGCGAATCGCACACTTCCTCCGTGAACTACGCCATTGACGAATTACCCAAAAACAACTTGTAAACGACAGAGCTTTTCGCCCAACTCGTTTTGCCTAATTTGAAACCGCATTCCTCTTCCTTCCCCCAAAGTTCTCGTTGCATAACGCATTTGACGGCGCGACGCCCTCCATCGACGAGAATCGAGGATTCTGAAACAGTCGAAAAAAAGCGAGAGGAGTGGGAGGGAAATCAAGCCGCTAACACGCAAAATAAAGTCGCGGTTACCCAATCTTCACACTTTGGGAATTTGCTTTGGGGATAAGGGCTTGTTTCGGCGAGAAAGTTGGATTAGAAATGAGGGAAATCCTAGAGATTTTTTTTGGTTAAAGATACCGACCAAATATTAGTAGTTTCATAAAGAAAATTGTTATACGGTGTTGGTAAAAATATAGAATTTCGCAAATTTAATCCACTTGAGGGGTCTCACAACGCATTTTTAATGGCTTGGAAGCCCTCAAAAAATGTCTATTAGCATTTTCATAGAGTGCATGGAAATTTTACCGCGTCCGCACTGTTCACAAAAATCCATTGTTTTTTGCACTGTGCATTTCACATGTCTTTGTTTTTTGCACTGTGCAGCGAAATATCGCTGCGACGTAGGTTCTTTTCAACCGCAGCCACATTTTTTTCATTTTGCACAGTGCATTCTGAACCTTTTCCCACGCTTGTCGCCAACGCACAGTGCATTCTTCGCTTTTGTGCCGTGCAACCCTCAAAAAAGCTGTTTGCACTGTGCAGATTTTTGGGCAAAACAGCGGCAGCCAAATTGAGAAAAGCTTGCGTCGCAAGCGATATTTCAAATGCACGGTGCAAAAGCAAAAACAAGTGAGTGCACGGTGCAAAAAATTGGTGATTTTTGAGCATGGTGCGGGCCGCAGAAAATGTCCATGGACTTCATGAAAATGCTTATAGGCGGTTTTGGAGGGTTTTCAAGCTATTAAAAATGCGTTGCGAGACGCCTGAGGTTGATTAAATTTGCGAAATTCTATATTTTTACCCTTTACACATACTGTATATCAACTTGAGTGCTCTGAAGGAACCGCCAACATTCTCAATGGCCTTGGCAGGCTAGGCAATGCATTTACTAATGAAGTTCAGCGACATATCAGTTATTGAATATTTTAGTTCGCGATTTGCAGGGGCAAGCAAGATGTTCAACAATTTTGCGGCCGAGAGGGTTAACGAGACGATGAAAGCGGTCATATAGGAAAACTAAACACTTTTTGGCCATAAATTTGCCAGTTTCACGCGGAAAAAAATGATTTTTTGTAGGGACGTTACTGTCAGTGGTAGAAGCAGACACACAACTTTTCCTGCCAAAATCTGCAAAAAAGTGTCGCATTTTCGCCAACTTTCGACCTAAAAATCATGGACGTTTCTGTAACAAGCGATTTAGGGAATCATATTTGCCTTATACAGTGAGGGACCTGATCCAATGGCAAAAAACGTCTGCTTTTGCATCCCGGAAGTGGCCAAAATGACTCCAAACCCTTCCCTTCTCTAAGCTAAAAAACTCCGCTTTGAAAAGCGCGCCCTTTCTTTCAAGGCGGGCTCTTTAAATCGGGGTTTTATAGCTTAGAGAAGGGAAGGGTTTGGAGTCATGTTGGCCCCTTCCGGGATGCAAAAGCCGACGTTTTTTGCCATTGGATCCCGTCCCTCACTGTAACAGTGTAATCCAATTTTTCACTCAATCTTATAAAAGTGTAATCAAATTTTTCGCTCAAGTTTTAACAAGCTTTGAGCGTTACAATTGGTGTATTTCTCCTGTCAGTCAATTTTCATCAAATTTCTTGCGTCAAAAAAACGCTGCAATTTCAAAAAATACCAATTAAGCTAGACTACAAATATTTCCATTTCCTTCCAATCTTCCTCCCGTTCCTCCTTAATGGAGCCCCTAAATCGCAGCACGGTATCATCCCTTTGTTCTGCAGATGCCATTGCCGCTTAATGCCCTCGCTGATCGGCTGTTTATCGTGAGCGGAATCTTGTTCGTCCGCACGGAGTAATCGAGAAAACGAAAACGACGCCCGAACGGGAGTATTGTTCTCATAGTTTCTGATTGATCGAGCGGGATAATTGTGATCGGATTAATTGAAGATGTGCCGTCGTTTTTTCGCAGCCCTCTCAACCCGTTAAGCGAGTATGAGTAACGAAAATCTTTTCTCCAGTGTTCTTTTTTTTTGACTTTTTACTTTTTTGAATGGCGCGCTTAATAAGGGGCGGCTTCTAATCGCCCTCTCGGCATCAGCGTTCAGCCGGATTCGGCAGGCGAAAGTTGTGAAAAGGTGGGCGGTGGAGGTAAATTCGCAAATTCCCTGAGGTCATCAAGTGGAGTAAGCCAAGGAGGAGGGTGAGGAGGACATAAGGGATTTCCGGAGTTTTTTATGTTTTCCGACATTTCTATTTCCACTCAATCGGGTTTAAATTTTTGGTTTTTCAGCATTAAAAAATGCCTCAGGCATGGTGCCTAAATTTTCCATGAGTTGTGGTATTTGCTCTTCTAAGTTCGTTTGAGCTCTTACCGATTCAAATTTCGTATAAAATTTTTCGAACACATGCGTTTTTAGGCTCGCGTTTTGCAGAAATAACCGAAACGTTTAGCCCAAAATTGAATGTAAACAATCTACTATTTAGTTCGGAAAAAAGGCATACTTGTTCTTGCAGAAAGTCGCCGGACTGATTTTTAGCATTTGCGCTGTGCGAAAAAAGCCAAAATGCGAGCGGCGGCCGAAAAACACCTATTGCACGGTGCGAAAAGCCAAAAGTTGCACAGTGCCAAGAAAGCTTTTGTTTTTGCACAGTGCGTGTCGCCGATTTCAGTCCGGCCACTTTCCGGAAGGGCTAGTATTGTCATTACTTTTGTTATGCCGTCATGACACATTTCAACGATACACAGCCTTCCAAATAATTTTTGCCGCCGACGGGCGTCCGAAAAAATGAAAAAAATGAGATTTGCCCCTTACATTTTTGCCAATATCTCGCTAGCTTCGAAGTGTAGCGCGAATCTGAAAATTGTGTTTCAAAGCTGACACATTTGTCCTTCAGAATATATTAATTTTGTAATGATACTTATTGTGCACGGCAAGGAAACCGTTGCTGAAAAGTGGCAATCGCGATATTCAATGTTTCGCAAAGACATTGATACAAGTTGTATTTTTCTCTGACTTCTTTCAATGACTTTTCGTGCGTTTTCGTCGGTCAATTCGATAAGCCAGTCGGTTCGCAAAGTCGCCGGAGTGATTTGTGCGACATGTTTTGTGAAAAGCCAAGATTTCACTTTGCACTGTGCAATTTGGTTTTTTTCGGCCGTAACTCGTACCCTGACTTTTTCTGCACAATGCAGACGCTAAAAATTACTCCAGCGGCTTACAAACATACTATAATAGTATTATCAGCCTGTCGGAAAAATAATGAGGGCAATATCGCTGCGCCATTTGCGTCGCTGAACCAAAAAGCAATTTAATTTTGCCACAACACAATTCATTTTCTCGACGGCGATGCGATTTTCGATTCCACACAGAATGTTCATTATTTTCCCGACAGATTGATAAACCAAATTTTTTTCCAAAAAAATCAATTATTATTTCCGAAAACGAAAGCGCGCAGTGAAAGGGAGGGGTTTGTGTTTCGGGGAGTTCCGTTACCTCGCTATCACTCTCCGCGGATCTATTTTCCGGTGCGAATTTCTGCGGATTATTGCGTGGAGCCGGTGGATTTGTTATTCTAACCGGAACGCTCGAGTTGCTTGTTGCCGCATCGACGAGATTATGATTGCGATTTTGACACATTCCTCCGATTTTTAGGTCAAATTGCGCTTTCATTACTCGGGATTTTATGAAAGTAAGAGTTGTAGTCGTATTTAGGGACCTTAAAAATTTAAAAAATCAGCTTTGTAGACAGTACAGGACATGTTAACATATATTTTATACCTTTATTAAACTTCTTTTTCCCGCTCTTCGCGTTTTTAAAAAAAAATTGTAAATTTAGTCATCATTTTTGCAGTTATGGGTAGTTCGACGCGGTTAGCGTTGGCTGCCGTCCTGCTGACCAGCCTGATGGCCGAAGCCCTCTCCTTGGCGGGCGTGGTGCACGGGCTCGGCTACAGACCTCCACCGCCGAAGGTCAGGCGGCAAGCCAAGTCGATGGGACATTGTCATTTCGGTAAGCTGTAAAACTTTTTGCTATAAGTCCGTCGGGCAAATAATGTGGATCGAGTGGATTTTTAACGCCTTGAAATCGCCCAGCATTGCTTTGCGACGGATGGAGATTTGCTGTGCAACTGCGACAATGCCACATTATTTTCCCGACAGACTGATACAAGTCTAGTCTCCTAAGCCTATAGGGACCTAACCAAACGCTTCGAAGACTTAGTCAATAACTAAAATGTAATTTCAGACGCCGAAAAATGGTATACCGAGCCAGAAGTGACCATCTCCAACGCTGTTATGTTTGATCGGACCAGTGGCTTGACCTGTACGGAATGTATGGAACGCTGTGAATTGTACCAGGTAAAAAATTTGTGTTTTTCTAGCCTACTTGAAGACTAATCTTTGCATCAAAGCGTTTAGGTTTCATTTTATCAAAATTTAAAGCTTTTCGTGGCGGGACCAAACTTTATTGCAAAAAAAGGGAAATTAAAAAAGAATTGAACTTATCGTAACGCATAGTGACCATAATTTCTTTCCAGAACACTTCCTCCAAATGGGTTTGCCGCTCTCTCACCTACGACCACAAGTACGAAATCTGCGACATCTACGCGATCAACGGCCAGTCCAAGCCCTACTATCTGACCGAGTACCATATGCGCGATTACTTCGCCTATCTTCCCGCCCTGTCGCCGAAGGACCGGGCGCGAGTCGGCGCCTCGCACGAACTGGAAATCATCGACGAGGAGGAGAGAAATCATACGGCAACAGCGTCGAAACACGTCATGATTGACGTGACGGAGATTGACGGCTTAGCGAAAACCGAATTTCCAGTCGATGGAAAGAGCACGGAAGTTGGTTTAGTTGAGCCGACCACAGTTCCTAGTGTCCATTTCGGAGAGAAAAGCTCGGAACGAAATGTGGCCACAGAGGCGGACTTGACTTCCGAGCAGTTGAAATTGAAGGAGGCTAAGATTGAAGCCGGCAATGAAAACTCCGAAGCCAAAACTGAGCCCGCCGAGTGGCTTCATAAGGAAGAAGAAGCTTTGAAGACTGTTGAAGCCCAAACTGAAGCTACTCTGGCTCCGGAGTCTACTTCTGAGGGTCAGAAGAACGAAGAAGCCAAGTCTGAGGGCAGCCTTGCTTCTGAGACCAACGCTGAATCTCAGAATGCCGGAGAATCCAAGACCGAGTCCGAGACCGCATCAGAATTGAACTCCGAATCTCAAAAGCCTGTAGAATCTACGACAGAGGCGCATATCCCAACAGAGACGGCTTCAGAATCCAATCTCGGGTCTCAGAAGGCAACAGAATCGGCCACGGAGGCTACAGCTGCTTCCGAAGCAAGCATTGAGTCGCAAAAATCCTTGGAATCGCGCACAGAATCTCATTCGGCGGCAGAGTCCATCTCCGAGTCCCACAGTGCCTCAGAGACCATCTCCGAATCCCACTCTGAAACAAAGGCTGAAGCCGCGACAGAAGTCAAGAACACCTCTGACACTGTTCTCCTTCATTCCGAAGCGTCTACTGAGCCTTCATTGGAGGCCGCTGAAGCCAAGACGGAGGCTTCCGAAGCTTCTCAAACCCTCGAGACATCCGAATCCACCTCTCAAGTTGCTGTAGAGCCCGCTAAGCTAAAGGAAGAAGTTAATGTCACCGAAGTTTCGTCCGTTAACATCCCATTGACAACCGAGTCCTCCGTCGAAGCTAAGCACTCATCGGAAAGCATCGAAGAGCACACGGTTACGGTAATTGAGACCTCCGAGACTCCCATTAAGTTGACCGAAACCGAACAGTCCGCTACAGCCTCCAGAGAAGGCGCTGACTTCGCGGCGGCGGCCCGAGCCTCGAAAACCTACATCAAGTCGAAGACGGGAGAGCAGCTGCCAATCCCAGGTCTTGGAGGCCACGAACAGAAAGGGGAAGATCCGATTCCATCGAGAAAGTCGTCCAGCAAGAGATTGGAGAAAATGAACCTCAAGAGTTTGAGGAATATCATCGCGAACAACGCCCGACATGAGGAGACTCGAGAGTTCTATCAAGAACAAAGAACTTCATGGAACACCAAGAACATCAAACAGGTTGATTTTGAGCATGTTGAGACGGTAAACTCGGGACATAAGAACCCAATGTTGTCGTTGAAGATCAACAAAATCGCCCCACAACATGTCGCAACGGATGACATTGAAAAACCTCGACCTATTGAGGGAACCGTCGACGCCTCCTCTTCGGACGCCGTTATTGACGTGGCAACGCCGTCGAGTCTTCATAGAACCTCCGTCCCTTCATTTACGGTAACCAAGAGAGTCTCTACAAGTGAGCAGAAGGCCATTGAGGAGGTGAAATCCACGTTTAACGTTGACGAAAAGAAATCATCAAAGGAGTTGGTTGCCGCAACAGAAGTTGCCGCCTCCTCGAAGACCTCCGAAGCCTCTCGGAGCGTGGAACAGCCCGAAGGCTTCAAGACGTTCAGCTCGTCAACGTTTGACGAGAAAATCTACTCACGGGAACCGCTAGCGCCAGAGACCTCCGGTTATGACAATCTGCCCAAAACACCAATCGATGCTAACACCGAAGCCAAGGCGACCAAAAAAACGCCTTTGGACGACGCACCACAAGAAAAAGTCTCCTTGGACTTTGACACTAGTCAAGAGAGGAAAAAGCTGAATATCGGGAAACTGGCGCACGCCGTGAAATGCACCGAGAACGAGGTGTTGAGGTTTGTCCAGTTTGGAGGCTACGAACAGTCGCATCGAGACCATGACGCCAAATTGGAGCTGCTTCCGGCTGGAAGCTTGGAGGAGTGCCAGAAGGCTTGCATTGAATCGTCAGCGTTTGAGTGGTGAGTTCAGGTGTAACAATACAGTGAAGGACCTGATCCGACGGCAAAATATGTACCATTTTGTATCCGGGAGGTATCAGAAAATGTAGCAAAATGCTTCCTTTTCCAAGCGAAAAACTCCGTTTTGAAGGGCGCGCTTTTGAAATCGATTTTTTTTCACTTGGAGAGGGAAGCATTTTGCCACATTTTTAGATACTTCCCGGATGAAACAATGGTACGGTTTTGCCACTGGATCAGGTCCGCCACTGTAGTTTCATCTTGCAAAAACGCAAATAACATCAAGTTAGACCTTCTTAAACGTATATTTGAAATCTTCATTTCACGTTTTTGGGAACCTATTGGGATTTTGAAGAAAATACAGGGTGTCTTATCTTTACAATAGAGACCTTGTAATAGCACCGCTAAGCCTAAGGGCTAAATTTCTTCGCTGCGAATTCTTCAGCCTTACTGTTAGAGGATGCGCTGAGCCTCTTGAAGATTTTGGAGCCTTAAATCGGTTCTTTTTCGGCCAAACTTTTGCTCGAGCTCGCAAGAAAAGGCTTCTGACTGTGCTTTCTCATTAATCGATGCACAAACCAATGAGAAAGCCCAAGCACTACTCACTACCTATATGCGTTTTCCTGTCTTTTCAAACTTTTCCAACTTCAGTGCCTCCGCAACTCACTCCCCAACCGGCTGCATTTTGTCATCAAAGTCCGCCAACCACGCCGAAGCCAATTCCTTGGTCGTGAACAAGGAATCCACCTATCTGGAGAAGGTCTGCCTTCCCAAAACCTTGGCTGACACCACCAAGCTCATCTTCGAAGCCGTTCCGGCGTACATTCTGGTGGGACATGTGCAAGAGGTCACTGACGCATCGAGCCTACGGCAATGTCAAATCGACTGTCTGCAGGCGCAAGAAAAGTACGGATTCCGTTGCCGAAGTGCCATGTGGTATCCAGCGGACTCGGATCAGGTGAGATTTTTAGGTAGATAGAAAGTGGAAAAAACAAATAGAAAATTTTATTTTGAATTTTTTCAGAACTGTCTGCTCAACTCGGAGAACAAACAGACGCAGCCAACGGTGTTCGTGCCAGAAGATGAAGGCGTAATTATGTTCTACTTTGATGTTCCAAGGACTGACGACAGCCCAATCTCGCAAAACAGACGTTTTAAGGTAGGTTAATTGAAAAAAAGAATAAAAAAATTTTTGTTAAAAAAATGTCTTTTTCAAAAATATCAAATTTTAAACCATTCAAAAATTCTTGTTTTAGGACCTTCCCTTCAAACGGCGAGTCTCCAAATGGACGCATTGGTCGAAATGCGACGAAAATAAAGAATACGCGAAGAAACATCGTTATGTGAAATGTAGCAACGAGAAAGATATTCGAAAATGCCCAAAACAAACGTTGAACTGCAAGAATGGTAAGGGAAAAAATTTTTGAATTTTTTAGTTTTTTTTTTTTATTTTATTTTATTTTATTTTATTTTATTTATTTTTTTTTATTTTTTTTCAAAATTTTAAAAAAATAAAAAAAATTTAATTGACCTTATTTTATCAATATTTTTAATTTTATTTTTAATTTTTTTATTATTATTTTTATTTTGATTTTTTACTTATATTTTTTGCATTTTTTATTTTGCATTTTTAAAAAATTTTAAAAACTTCCAAAAAAAATTAAATCGACCTTATTTTAGTCATTGAGCCCACTCAACCCCACATTGATGGAGAATGCCGAGCAGTTCGAGACCCTCGTGGAAACAAACGGTGTCCACATGGCGTAAAACTTGACTCCTTCGGAATTCGACACTACTGCACGCCTCCAGTCGATTGCTACTGAGCAATCTAATTGTTGATCTTATAATATTCCTCAGACTATTAATGCTTGTATATAAGATATTTATTTAAATTATTCAGAGATATTAACTATATACAGATACTGGTTAGTAAACGGTTATAATGATTATCAAATTTTTGGACGATCTGGGGTGAGGTTGTGTTGGCCGTTCAGAGCTCTGAAAATTTCATAATTCCAAATTTTGATTATGAATTATAAAAAAAAATCAAAATCTTGAGAAATTTGGATTTTCAGAGCTCTCGGAGAGCGATCAAACAACCTTGCTTTTGAACGAAAACACCGCCAAATGAGCAAAAGTTCAATTTTCATGCAGATTTTGCACTAAATGTATGAGAAGATTGGGAGGTCAAATTGGCTCCGGGATGCAAAATTGGTCTCCGCCGACATCTTTAGAAAAAGATAAGCCAAATCTAGTACAAGGTCGAAAGGCCTGGCAGCTCAGTAACCAATCAAGGCAAAAGAGTCAAGTCATTTATTCAGTGGAAATTTCAGGCCTTTTATAGGGCAACCCACGTCAAACTGAGATAAGCTAAAACAGTCCGGTGAATGGATTGGCAATTTGCCAAAAAAAGACGCGAAAAAACGTTTTGTCGGGGTAGAAATGGGGAATTTTTGGGGCGAGAGAGTACGTTTTTGCGTGTCTTTTTTCTTTCTCTGCGAAATCAAGACGAAGTGCAAAAAACCGATAACGAAAAGTCTATTCCGGTCACCGGACTCCTCAGTTTGACGTGCAACCCCATGTAGACAAGTGCAATCAAATTTGAATAAATGAAGACAGTTTCTCGTAGGAAAATCCTCGAAAATTGGTCGTTCCTCCTCTCACCAAATTTCGTCAAAATCTGAGTGTTGCACTTGGAGAACACTACCTACAGTGGCGGACATCATCCAATCACAAAAAACGTACCGTTTTGCATCCTGGAAGCAGCAAAAATGCAGCAAAATACCTCCCTTTCCAACAAAAAAAAACTCCGTTTTAAAGAGCGCGCCATTTTCCTCACAAAAAAGAGTCGCGGGCTTTTTTTGAAATCGGAGTCTTTTCACTTGGAAAAGGATGTATTTTGCCACATTTTTTGATGCTTCCTGGATGCAAAATGGTACGTTTTTTGCCACTGGATCAGGTCCGCCACAGTATTAATTAGAACAAAAACAACAAAAAATTTACTAAACCTGATTACTCGAAAAAAAATTATTTGTTTTTTATATTTATAACGCCCTCAAAATTAAAAAAAGTGTTTTTTTTTTTATTTTTCCAAATTCATCCCAGCGAGAAATTGCATTTTGAGGCATTGCTTGACGGCCACAGTCATATCTTTCTTCCATTTGGTGCTGAAACAAGAAAAAAATTAAGAATTGTAGTACTAATTAAGGCCCACGTAAAGGGCAAGCCCAATTAAAAAGGCCGCCATTTTTCAATCTGTTTTATAAAAAAAGATACCATAAAGGGAAATGCAGTGGGAGGTATTGCAGCAGGGCGTAAAAATAGAGGCCTCCCAGACATGACGGAGTGCACATTCCTCTGATGTTTGTTATGGGGAATGTAGCTTTTTTTGGGTGCCCAATTAAATTATCTCTTTTGTTATTTTGCCTAGCCGGCGTGTAACGGCGCAAATATTGCGTTTTGTAGCGGTTCCGGGCTCAAAAAGTTAACAAATTTTATTTGTCTGGGAGGTTTTCAATTTTTTTTTTTTCAATTTGCTATGTAGGGAGTAATGAAATTAATTAAGGATTATGGAGTGCCAATCATTACTGTTTACTTTCCCAGACAGTCACGCTTGCTATTGTCACTTTGCGCCAGACTTATTGCTCCTCAACCAAAGGTCAATTCGGGCTTTCAGTTGGTTTTTTCTGCAGAGAAAATTTACGTGTCTTTTGCGAAAATTGCGAATTTCCCTCAAGTTTCATCAAAATCCGAGCGTCGCACATATATACCTCTTCATTTCAAGACCTTCGTATGAACTCACCGTCGATTCTGAAACCAAGTTTTGACCTGCGCTTCGGTTAGGGAGAGCTCCATTGATAAGCGACGACGTGTCTCCACACTCAAGTATTTGTCATTCTGTAAAGACCACTTTATGCCAATACAGTGGCGGACCTGATCCAGTGGCAAAAAACGTACCATTTTGCATATGGGAAGTATCAAAAATGTGGCAAAATGCTTCCCTTTCCACCTATAAAAACTCCGTTTTAAAGAGCGCGCCATTTTCCTCGCAAAAAAGAGTCGCGGGCTTTTTTTGAAATCGGAGTTTTTTTACTTGGAATCGGAGGTATTTTGCCACATTTTTTGAAGCTTCCTGGATGCAAAATGGTACGTTTTTTTGCCACTGGATCAGGTCCGCCACAGTATTAATTAGAACAAAAAGAACAAAAAATTTACTAGACCTGTTTACTAGTTCAAGCCCCTACTGTTTTGCCCATTTCACACCCCCCATAATGAAAAAAATAGAATAATCGAAAAAATGAAAATTAGAGTAAAATGACCCCCGGCGTTTTAGCTCAAACCCCCCGTTACCTTCCAAATTCGTTCTTGTGGTTCAGGCAACGATGATCGTAGCCGAGAGAACCCAATCCCGAGTGGACGGTTCAGATTTTATGAGGGAGTTTGTACTGGGTCATGGGGGGCTGAACTGGACTGGGGGGTTGTACTACCTTAGCCCCACTTTGACTTCAAAAGCTCTTTTTGTGAGGGAAAGGGCGCGCCCTTCAAAGCAAAGCTTTTTCACTTGTAGAAGGAAGCATTTTGCCACATTTTTGATAGTTCGCGGATGCAAAATGGTACGTTTGTTGCCACTGGATCAGGTCCGTCACTGTAACACGAATATTTTGAGTTTTGTATAAGGATCCCGCAATTCAAAATGAAAACTGCAAGGCCAAAAATTTGAAAAAAATTTTTCAGTTTTGTCAACTTGTAACCTAAACATCTCTATTTTTTTGTTTAGAGCGTGATCTAGAAGGCCCGCATATGTATTAAAAAAATATATCCGGAATTTAAGCCAATTTGCTTCAAAATCTGAGCGTCGCACTCCCAGCATCTCCTCTGTTAATCATTTTTTATACTGTAGGAATACTGTAAAATTGAGAGTTAAATAAAATGTTCCCTATTCCCTCAAACTCCCCCCGGATTTAAAACCTTTTCCGAGTAAGCGCTGACGAACCAATTGAAGCAGCCTAACACCTACAGATTAAGGACGTCAATTTGACGTACTGACATCCCCGAAACCTTGACGGAATTAGTTTCTGGACGTCAGAGCCCTCGCAATCTTTTCTGCTCTTTTGTTCGCCAAAATGAGCAATTAAAGATGCAAAGGGGTCTTCGTAATCCGCTGTTTCTTTGCTGGTTTTTTGAGGCTACAGTTTTAATTTTTTTGTCGTGTTCTTGGATCAGAGATCTAAATTTTTGCATTTTTGGTCTTATCATTTCTTGAGAGCTGATACAAAAGCTGGCGCCGCGACTCTTGGGCAACCATTTTGCGGGCCGATTAGAATTCAATTTTTTCTACCGTAATCTACGTAGTATGACAGAAAGTTTACATTGCCATATCCTTGGTCCTAATAAGCACACAAACCTTCAATTTATGTATCTTTGTTTCCAAAAAATGACTTCTGAACCTTTAAAAATACCTGGTTAATCTGTTGGCAATTGTTCAGGCCATTTATACACTTGGAAACTTAATTTGCAACACGTAATTGCCAAATCCGCCCTGTATTGTAAGCAAAAGTTGGTCGATTTCCAAACATGCCTGCAGAATCACCATGGTTCTTTTAGCTGCCGGTAAAGTGTTTGCCCGCAAGTGTGGGCCCGCCAAGAAGCTTTTCAAACCTAGTTTAGGCGATTAATCGGTGAATATATGGGTTTATGGGCCACAAGCAGAGGGTCCGGCTCGTTTTTGATTGTCTTCGGCCCGGCTCGGCCCCATAGAAGCCAATAATTGACATTAGCTAGCTAGGAGTTCCCAAAATTTACTAGAAGATTTTGAACGGTCGTCGACGAGAGAGTACGCAAAACGCGGAGGGCAGTCAAGTAGAAAAACACTTTTTGATCATATCGTTGCCAGTTTCGGGCGGAAAAAATTAATTTTTCGTGGAAACGTATCTCTCTACGGTAGAAATATGCATTAAGATTTTCAGCCAAAATTCTCAAAAAAAATCGCCGCATTTTAACCAACAAAAAATCTCGTCGTTTCCGGCTAGGAATCTCTCAAGTTTTCTTTTCGAAAAAAAATAATTTGAATCTACACCAAATCTCACTGATAGGCGTCGCGCGGAGATCATTTTTCCGGTCAGTTATTTCCCGTTACGTCCCTCCCACCACTGTTCTTTTCATGTTTACCCACATTAATGTCCAATTGAGTGGGTTGAATCATAGTTCAACCGATTAAATATGCCGGAAACTTTTGAAAGGGAGTTTACTCGGGTCACTTTCCCAGCTTACGTTTCGTTCGAACATCGTTTATCCAACTATGTTCCCTTGGGTAATTGACAAAGTACAGTACTTACATATCACGCATAAATTCGTAGGGAAATCCGGGGATTTAGGAGGGCTTACTATGGGGAGATAAGTCGATGATTGCTCCTACGAAATGCTCTCAACATGTTGAGGATGTTTCTTAAAGACGTCGCTTATAAAAACGTGTTGAATACGGTAGGAAAAGTGCAGTATATTTTGACCAAAATATTATAACTCGGGCTTATAGATAGGGTTGATTTGGGCAACGGTTGAGAGGCTACAGTGGCGGACCTGATCCAGCGACAAAAAACGTACATTTTTCATCCATGAAGCATCAAAAATGTGGCAAAGTACCTCTCTCTCTAAGTGAAAAAACTCAGATTTCAAAAGCGCGTCCGCTATTTTTGTGAGGAAAAAGGGCGCGCCTTTCAAGACGAGGCTTTTTCACTTGGAGGGGGAAGCATTTTGCCACATTTTTGATACTTCCCGGATGCAAAATGTACGTTTTTTTGCCACTAGATCAGATCCCCGCTGTAATTCTACTGTATCTTGCTCCACATCTCACTGTAGCCGAGTCTCCGTACAACAAATTGCAAGGCCTCAAAAACAGTGCATTTTGATCCAAATACACCGTTTTGCACAGTGCGTTTTCTGTCTTTACTTTACGTTGCGCGCGATTCCCACGATTTTCTGCGCCAAGCAGAGGGCTGTCGGGAAAATAATGAGCACGTTGTCGCTGCGTCGATCGCGCCGCTGAACTGAAAAACAATTTGATTTTGCCGCGACACAATTCATTTTCTCGATGGCGATGCCATTTTCCATGCGACAGACGGCCATTATTTTCCAGACAGACTGATATTCGTTCGGATATTCAGTGTATATGATGTATGAAATAGTCTCGTAGACGGGTGGAGAAGGCGGGAAACACGGGATTCCGGTGTTCAAATTGCCCGGGGATATTGGAACGTTGTTTGGGACAATAGGTGACGGAAGTAGAAAACAACGAAAGGAAAGAGGGTGGAGTGGAGGTGTGCGTGTACGGTGGAATTATGGCTTTCTTGGAGCGAGAAATGTCTTGGTCCGGTTTGTTTGGGTGTTCCTTTTACCTACAGGAGAGTTCTATTTTTTCTGCAACCCGAAATTCAGGTACTAAATTAGATTAAAAAGCAGGCCCGGAAATTAATTGTATTATAAAATGTTTTGTAATTGATTCAAACGTTGGACAAGCTCGGGTAATTTACCAGTTGTTTGTATGGTTTTGGAGTTTTTAGCCAGCTCCAACCATCCATTTTCATACCACATTATATTAGCTGTTTAACTGGTCCGGGCCAGGGGGCTAGCTAGGGGGGGAGAGACAGGGTTGACAGGAGGGACAGGGCACATCAAACTGAGGAGTCCAGTGACCGGAACAGACTCTTAGCTATCGGCTTTTTACACTTCGTCTTGATTTTACAGAGAAGGCAGAGAAAGACGAGAAAAACGTACTCTCAGGCCCCAAAAATTCCCCATTTCTTCCCCGACAAAAAGTTTTTTTTTCTCTTTTTTGGCGAAGTGCCAATCCATTCACATATTTCAGTTTGATGTGCAGGGGGTGCAAGAGGGCGACAGTAATGAGGATGGAGGGAGTTTTGTAAATAATAGCAGTGGGAATACAGTAAAAAGACCTGTAAAACGAAGCGAAGAACACAAGAATTCATTCGTTATTGAAGGGTTTTACTGAATGGGGGGAAGGGGAGGACAAGGGGTACTCCCACGCCGGGAATGAAGGAAAAACTGGCAAGGGGGACTAAGGTAATTTTAAGTTTTTACATAGTGACCCCAGCCGACCTCCCTCTCACCAAAATTTCTGGTCAGCTACGCCTGGCCGGGCTGGTGCAAGACAGCTTCAGACCTTCCATTATATTGCTTGGGCAAACTTTGAACAAGACCTAGGCGGCGCGGCTTTACCGAGGGCTGGGCCACGGGCTCGGAGCAGAATCCCTACCACCTAAAAAAGTTAGATCCGGGATGGAAAAAAAATTATGGCCAATAGCAATGACAAACAAATTCCTAGAAACTTGGGACGATCTTTCATTGGGTCTTGCAACGCTGTTAAATTTTTTCCTCATTGCAGACCACACAATATGCAACGCGAAGAGAAAATGTCAGAACAATATTCTTTCGACCATGGCATCACTATTTTTAGCGCTAAAGATGGTTATTTTTGGCCCAATCCGTCTTCGTTTAGCTCCCAAACAGGAACTCATTCCAAAGCTAATTCCAAAGCACTGTAGGCGCATATAATGGTTCCGCTTCAAACGGCTAAAAAAACCCGCAAGCCTTCGTGTTAATTAATTTTTTTGTCCAAATTGAACTTTTCACACTCCTTTCACTAAAAATTCCATTCAAAATTCATACCTGGAACTCCGTCTCCAGTCTGTGCAATTGCGTCGTGCTGTAGACTTGGCGGGGCTTGCGATTCGTCGAGGCGCGAGCGCAACGTTTGTAGTCGTGTTTTTGGGCTGAAAAAAGCTGTTGTTGTTGTGTAATGTCGTGGTAAATTAGAGGTAAAATATAATATTTTGTGCATGCATAGGCCACATCTCAATTCCTGAGAATTTCAGGACACGCTTTGCAAGCGTAACCTAGATATGTAATAAACCGTCTTGGCAGTCGAGAAAAGGTTGGGGAATGGTCAGAGATAAATACATACACTTTTTTGGCCCTATCTTTGTCCAGTTTCGGGTGGAAAAACTTATTTTTTGTTGAACCATTATTATCTTTGTTAGAGATCAGATTTTTCATGCCAAAAAATTGTAAAATTTTGTCAAAATTCGACCTGAATATCACAGACGTTTCTGCGATTTCCGAAATTCTCGGAAACGTCTTATTGTTAGAGAAAATCAACCTAAATTTGCTCCCAAGTTTGTCAAAATACGGGCGTCGCGCTTCCATGTTGGATCTCGCCGTGGGAGTACTTTTCAACGGGTCTTCAACGATTTGCAACGCTTGTTTTTAGCTCCCTTTGGGCACCTCCCTAGTCACCAAAGGTTCACGTTAATCGTGGAATTTAGCCTTACAGTTTTTCTTCGGCGATATTACGCAAATCTACAAATTACTTCATAGAAATTTGTAATCGTCATTAATTCGCCGATTTCGTTGACAAACTTGTCAAAATTTTTTATTTAAATCTTGTCAAAAGTTTTTATTTAAAGGTGGCATTCTAGCCCATAGGACATGTTCTCCAGGCACTTTCTCGCAGCCCTATTAGTCATCGGGTTCGACGGTAAGATTGTGTAAAATTTTGTCCGGGAATTTGCAAATTACAGACGTATGTTTCTTATAAATTTAAAAACATTATTGTGTAATATTCCTTAACTGTTGAATGTAGGAGACGTAATGACAAAGGAAAGTAAATATCGCTGTATATCTTGAGCTCAGGGTCCTGGCGTTCGCTCTGAGGAACGTATGGTTAATACAAAAGAGGGTTCAGAATTTAAGTGGTCTAGGTTTGATGAAGATCTTTTTTCTAGAACAAAAGAATGTTATTGGTACTACAATAGAGGTGCACGGGGTACGTCAAAAAAAGTATAAACAAGCAGAAGAGATACGGGTGCACAATAAAAACGCCTCGCATTTTTTATGGGCATTTCGCACTGCGCAAATTCTTTTTTCTTGTCAAAATGGTTTGCAATATTTTGACATAAAGATGAGCTGTAAACTACAAGATTTTGATATAAATATAAAGCTCGAAAGTTGCTTATGAAAATGGAGCCAAAATCTACCCTAATCATGGTGTTTTAATGGCTATCCAAAGCGAACAAAAACAGCGTCTAAATAAACGTTTATTTTGGCCAATAGAGGTGTAGGCTTCGTTAGCTCTGATTTTTCGCAACTTTTTGGTGACTTATTAACAGTAGGGGCGCCAAATTTCAATCAAAGTCAAAGTTATTTACAGTACGCGAAAAAACCCTTCATTTGAATTTCACAGGCCTACGTTTCCCAACAGCGTCACTTATTTACCTATTCTCTTTGCTGTTTTCAACGTTTATCATTACCAATTCCCCATAACGCTTACTCAGCACGCTCTGTATCAGATTTCTAACCTTTCCCCAAACCCTAACAATACAAATTGCCCGTGAAACAAACGACACAATTCCTTATTAGACTTGCAAAGCGTAGTCGAGTATACGTTTATAGTATGTGCGCGCGGACCCAAGATATACATACATATATAGCTCCGGTTAGCATACACATATACCGCGCTTATCAAATCGCCGTTGATTATAAATTTGCATTAATAATTCTGTTGCATTGATGCCCGCTATGTATTCCTTGGCCTACCTTTTAGGCCGAACAGGGAGTGAAGTTCGGCCAGACTAGGTGATTTGACGTCGTTGGCGATCGCAAGCAAAGCGGAGGCGTTTGTTATGGGCGGAAGCAGGGGATTGGGGGAGATTGGCGGAGGCGAGGCGTCTGAAAATGATAAACATCAGGTTAAGATCCGAAGAGGAGCACAACGAAGGGGGCACCTAGGAAAAAAACTGAAAAAATATGGTAAAAGGGGGCCAAGGCGGATTTTTCAATTAATTTTTTTTTGATGGTTTGACAAAAGAATTGCCTTGGTCCCTCTTACCATGCCATTTTTTCCTCATGTTTCTTCTTTGCCCAGCTGCCATCGTCTGAATAAAATAAGTTAGGCTTTACAGCCACTTTGAAGCCAATTTTCTCTTGTTGAATCTGTCGGGAAAATGAGCACTTTGACGCAACGAAAATCACATGGAGAAAATGAGTTGTGTCGCGGCAAAATCAAATTTTTCTTTAGCCACGCGATTGGCGCAACGACATTGTGATCGTCGACCGCCTACCGGAAGTTCGAAAAACCCCAAGTTCGACAACCAAAATTTCGAATGCCGCAAGTTCGAATGCCGCAAGTTCGAATACTAGAAGTTCGAAAAACCTCAAATTAGAAAAACTAAAAGATCGAAAACCGGAAGTTCGAAATATGAAAATATAAAAAATGCAGAATGAAAAAAAAAGAATCGAACTTGCGGTGGGTCTCCGGACGCCTACCGCAAGTTCGAAAACCCCCAAGTTTAAATCTGCCTCACACGCGATTTTTTTGCCTTGTGAAAAAAAAACTGCTGCTCTGCTCGCAAAGCCGTTTTTTTTGGTATCCAAAAAACGGTTACCCACCGCAAGTTCGAATCCGCAAGTTCGAAAGCCTAAAGTTCGAATGACTAAAGTTCGAACGACCTCCAGTTCGACAAACCTAATCCAGTTCGACAAACCCAAACCGAGAGAGGCACAGTTGGATTGGCTCCATGATGAATCTTGATCAGGTCGACATGAAGAACAGCGCGTTCGTTGTCGGTCAGAGTGTTCGGACAACCAACCTCCATCGTAGAGGATGAATGAATGATTGAAGAGGAAGTGTATTTTGCAAAATAATTATATGCAAATTATAATTTAAATATTAATTAACTTTTTTTTCATTTTCGAACTTTAGTCATTCGAACTTTAGGTTATTCAAAGTTACGGTCATTCGAACATTAGGTAGTTCGAACTGGAGGTCGTTCGAACTTTAGTCATTCGAACTTTAGGCATTCGAACTTGCGGATTCGAACTTGCGGTATGTCTCCGTGATCGTCATTTTCCCGAGAGACTATAATCTGATTTCATATACTGTGTGAAGATTTTATGACCTTTTTTTGCTCCTTTTGCCCTTTTGCGGTAAAAACGCTTCGGAAAGTTCTTGTCCGGGACTTGAAGCGGCAAAAGTGTTCATAAGAGTCTCTCAAAAAGGTCAGAAATTGCCGAGTTGACCTGGTGTGAGTTCTTATTTTTGCTGGCGCTTTATCAGTCTGTTGGAAAATCAGTGGCGGGTCACCGTAGCAAAATGTTTCGACTCGTCGAAAAAGGGTGCAGATTCATCCAATGCGCGAAGAATCCACATTATTTTCCCGACAGACTGATACCACCTTGATGTCAGCGCGGAGTCGGCGGAGCCTTCCCGAGCACCGCCGAAAGGACAGTTAAAAAAACAGAAATATATTTTTAGCCGTAATCCTTTATGACATCAGATTTTAATTGTTTTAATTGCCCCAAAAACCTCCGCCACCTTCTTTTGATTACTCCTTGTTTCCAGCGGCATAATTTGCTAATCGAAAATTCCTGTCACAAACTCAACCTTCAGGGCACGTTCTCCCCTTTGCCACTTCCCGTGACTTCAGAGTGGTATTTGGACGACCCAACTTGTCACAGTTGGTGTTATTCCGGGAAAACAAACATTTATTTACAACTTTGCACAAACATCTGCCCTTTGCGGAAGCAATGTTTTTTCGTCGTTTTGGGCACGATGGTTTTTACAATTACTGTTCTTGGGACGAACAGTAATTGTGTTTACTATGGTGGATTTTCAATTTTCTTCGAATTTTTGCGTATTTATTCTGCATAGATTAAGCTTGAGATGCTGAAAATCTGCAATGCTAATAAAGGAAGTGCCCTAATGAGGGTTACTTTAAATTTCGCATACATATCGGGCATAGGTCACATATCAATTCCTAAGAATCTTAGCTCGTGCTTTGCAGGCGCAGACGAGATATTCAGCGGTCGCTGTCGCCGAGAGAGTACGCACAACTTGGGGAGCGACAAAAATTTTGATCATTTCAAAGTCATTTTTGAAGACCCTGCCCAATTCCCACGTCTGACCGCTTACAAGTCCTTGTGATCTCTGTTGCAAGAAAGAATAGCATCTCCCTTCAAAATTTTACCTAATTTTTCATATTTGAAGAAACCTTAGCGTGTGTTTCAGCAAGAATTCATAATTTTCTGCTGATATGGGAACCTCCAGCCCCAAAAATTTCCTTTGATTTTACTTTTTTTATTTGCCAAAAATTACTGCGAAATATATCTCTTGCTCCGCTCTTCGTAAGAAATATCGTTTTCTGTCCATAGCGCGCCGCTTTTTTGACATCTGAATACTTCTCTTCTAATTGACATAAATTCTATGCACTGTTATGTACGACTTACGTCACGGTCGCTTTCGTATCCCTGAATTCCAAAAGAGTGCATTTAAAACAAGTTTCGGGAGGTCCTATTTTAAAGTTCTACCGTAAAAAAGCGTAATTTTTAATAATTATTGATAGGCGATATTACGGTGGCAAGTTTATTTGACTGTATTGCGTCAATAATTTATGACAGCACGAATATTGAGGGTGTGGTATAAATGAGGCGCAAGAAATTTGTTTGACTTATGAAAATGCTCATATTTCTATCCCTGTACCCGCTTACCATCACAATTATCTTTCTCCGTCGCTTTCTCCTCCTGGGTCTTCTCCAAGATGGTGCTGATATTAAACGCCATGTTTTTGAGCTCCTTTTTCTCCTTTTTTTCTTGTCTCTGGGCAACTTTCTGCGGCCTAAACATGGTCTCGGATTAGCAACATTTTCTCCTTCATTTCGACATCATTTAATTTACTGAATGTACGCACATGTCTGCAGGGCGATCTGGATGTCGTACATCCGGCTCAGAGCGATTGCCACTTTAGTGACGATTTAACAAATATAATACAAGAAATGATTTTTTGAGATTAGAAACAAGCTCAATTGCTCAGAATTGATGTTATGGATTAAACTTTTGCCTTGGAAATTGCAAATGATTTGGGAGAGCGACGTTAAAAAAATTAATAAACTTTTTTTTAAATGCGGCAAAGGGATTGAGCTGCAATGCAATCCAATCACTATACGTATATAGTAGGAGAATAATAAGTTTTACCGCGGAGGTGCTAAAAGTGCAGCAAGTATGATCCTCAGATTTTGATGAAATTTGGCCCAAATTTAGATCGATTTTCCTACAAGACAAATGCGAGACTTCTAGTTCGTCCTTTGCAGAAACGTTTTTAGATCCAAATTTGGCAAAAATGGGGCGCTGCAAAGTTTGGAAAAAAAGGTTCACGCCTATTTACACTTGTGATAGAAATTTTACCACAAAAAAGTAGTGTTTTCCGCTCAAACTACGCAAAGATATGGCCAAAAACTCCTTTCTCTCTGACCGCACTCCGCATTTTTCCTTCTCTCCCGGCCGCAAAAATCGTTGAATATCGCGGCTGCGCCTGCAAAACGGAAGCTAAAATTTTCAGGGTTTGATATGTGGGCTATACCCTAAACGTGTGCAAAATTTTAAGAAAATCGGAGCGTCGCGCTTGGAGCACTTCCCATGTAAAATGTTACACTTTTTTGCGCATTTTGTCATGAAAAATTTGATTCATTTTTTCACGTAGAGGGCTTTCTACGAGAAAGTAAATTCTTCTTTCACTGCGAAACTGGTAAAGACATGGCCAAAAAGTCTATTTCTCTGCAACCGCTTTCCGTGTTTGGCGCACTCTGTTGGCCACAAAGATTGTTGAATATCTCAGCTGCGCCTGCAAAATGCCAGCCAAAATTTTTAGGATTTTTTTTCGGACCGTGCCAGGCATTTGTACAAAACTTTAGGAAAATCGGAGAGCCGCACTTCAGACATTCCCTTGACTTTTGGCTTTGGACAATAAACCCTTTTGGAAGCCGGAAAATTCCACGCCATACTTAGGGGTGGAATTTTCGAACAGCGGAAGTACAGGTGGCTCTGGCCTACAAATTCGAAATGCCAGTGCCCCCAGAGCATGAAGAAACACTTTGGCGTCGAACTGAACGCCGTAAAGTTCAGACTTTTGGCCCGCACGTAAGGATCGTTTCGAACGTTTCTGCAAAGCTGAAAATGCTAGCTATTGCTAAGAAGTAACATTTTTTGACCCGCTGTTTTCGACATGCCGAATTTTTTAGTCATGGCGTTGAGATTAGGGAAACTGCACGAAAAAAACGTTAAGCGATTCAGATTTGGACTCGTTTTACCGTATTTGACGAGGGATAAGATAAAAATTTGTATAATCCGGTTTTTCAAAATGCGTAGTTTTTTTTATGATGTGAAAGTTGGCTCAAATTTAGAGTATGATTTTCGAAGTGCTTTCCAGAAAACGCCGAGACTTTTTCACTAGAATGCGCCACACTTTTACCCTCTTGCCGAGAGACATACTTCTTTCCGGCAAAGAGAGAATGCAAAACGCGGAGAACGGTCAAAGAGAAGAGCATTTTTTGTCCATATCTTTGCCAGTTTCTTGTAAAAAATTAATTTTTTTGTGGAAAAATTACCCTCAGAAATAGTCATGAAACTTTTCATGCCAAAATTCGCATACAAGTCCCATATTTTTGCCAATTTTCGACCTCAAAATCACGGTCATTTCTACAATGCTTACGTAACGAGTCTCAAATCTGTAATACTCTGCAGTGAGGGACCGGATCCAATGGCAAAAAACGTCTCATTTTGCATCCCGGAAGGGACCAAAATGTCTCCAAACCTTCTTTAAATAGTAAACTAAAAAACCCCGTTTTGAAGAGCCCGCCTTGAGGGAAAGGGCGCGCTTTTCAAAACGGAGTTTTTTAGTTTAGAGGAGGGTAGGGTTTGGAGACATTTTGGTCCCTTCCGGGATGCAAAAGGAGACGTTTTTTTGCCGTTGGATCAGGTCCCTCACTGTACGTGACAAAAACTGGTCTAAATCTGCTTAATTAATTTCTGAGCGTTGTGTGTTTCCTCAAGGTACCCCAAAAAATTAAAGAACAGTCTGAGTGCGCGTCATTTTAGCCATAAATACCGCAACAACGTCAAAGTTCAGACTAAAATTGAATTAACTGAGCGTTTAGGTACTATTCAATTATACCACCCTCGGACAGATCATATTAAAGTCTACAGCATTAGATTACATCGTATTAAAGTCTATACCATATTGAATTATAATCAAAAAACAAGACGGCCACAACTTCGCCAACTTGTCCCCCAAGGCCTCCGAAAAACAAAAGCCCACTTACTCGGGAATTTATATAGACATTTGGGAATATATCCGCTTACCTGTTGTCTTGACTTTTCTCTTTTTTTTCATTTTCCATTAAAAGCCTGAACCAGAGCCGTGGGAATGGCACACGGCCCAGAACTTGGAATGGCGATAAGCCACTTAATCGACGTATATTTTCGCAATGATACTGTAGGGAAAAGAAGGAAGTGTAACCTTTGATTTTTGGTTGGGATATGTTGGGAAATCAAGGGAAATGTTTTATTATTATATTTATGTGTTTTTTTGATTAGCGAATTTAGTGAAAAAATGTAAAAGAAGCAGCGGCAAATTTTACGTAGTGAAACTTGATCTGTTTAATTTTGTAAAGGAAGTAGTACCCCAAGTATTAAGTGTATTCTAAAACGCTCAGATTTTATTTAAATTTGCCAACAGTTACAGGCCAATAGGCCATATAAATAGTAATTGCTGAAAATTTTGGCTCGCGCTTTGCAGGGGCATAAGAAACCCCTAATAGTGGCAGCCGAATCCAGTGAGAAAAAACGTACCATTTTGAATCCGGGAAGTATCAAAAAATGTGGTAGAATGCCTCCCTCAAATAGAGCTTTTCTAGTCGAAGAGGGAGGCATTTTGCCATATTTTTTGATGCTTCCCGGATGCAAAATGGTTCGTTTTTTGCCACCGGTTCTGGTATGTTACTGTAAGAGTCCTAACCGAGAGTGTATCCGAAACGCGGAGAGCTGCCAGAAAGAAAAAAAAATTTGCGCTTTTTCAAGTACTGCCGGGAAATTCACCCAGAATATGCAAAACGCGGAAAGCGTTAAAGATAAAAACACTTTTTTTGGCCACATCTTTGCCAGTTTTGTACGGAAAAAATTGATTTTTGATGGAAATACTACCCTCTACGGTAGAAACAGACATGAAACTTTTCATGACAAAATTCGCAAAAAAACGTAAGAAATCTTTTCTGTCACGACTTCGCGTGCGAATTTGCATATTCCCACGGAATGACCGACAAGTTGGTATAAAAGGAAGAGAAATCGCCAATTATTATGATCATTTTTGTGTCTGTTCTTTCCCGGTTGTGTTGTGTGCAATAAACCGTCGTATTTTCTACTGTCTATTATTGATTGGTCTATGGCCAACTCCTGTGAAGTTGGTTCCTCAAGTATTGTGAGTTCATTTGTGAAGTTGTTTCATTAGTATTGTTAGTCGTTTGTCATGGTACTGTTAGTCGTTTGTCATCGTTGTTTGTATAGTATTATTTGGGCTTGGGATCAGAAATGGCAACTAGAATAGGGACCCTTATACACGTGCTCTCATTGAACTCGTGACATTTCCAAACTTGACATAAAAATCTTGGTCTTTTCTGCAAAGCGCAAGCGCAGGAATGTCAACTATGCCTCAGAAAAAATTATTCTAAATTTGCAACAAGTTTTTTTAAATCTGAACGTCACACTTTGGGTACCGAAAATAACCTCCGCTTTATACTCTTTGTACAGATGAATTTTGCTCTTTCAAGTTTTAAAAAATTGAAGTCTTTGTACCTCTAAAAATAGCCTGCTTTTTGAAAGACGAAACACAACAAATTAGCGAAATTTTGCACATTTATAGCTGGTACGAAACAATACCGAGTGTTGTGTTTTCACTATAACAGACACGAAATCTATTTTTTGATATGAGTGTTTTTGTCCATATGTGTATATATATTATATTTATAATCCCTATGCCACTTACACTGATGACTAGACCAAATTCTTGAGTATTCTTGAGCTTTTTTGTGACGCATTTCGCATACTATATATATTTTTTGATATTTTTTGTAAGCAGCGAATAATTGCCGGTATGTTTTTTACCGGTTATTTGGTCTTTCTGTATGTGAAGGGCATTCATATATAATATGTGACGCTCAGATTCCAAATATTGCGCATATTTTCAACCTAGGCCACACTATCAATCCTGAACGTTTTAGCTTGCGCTTTGAAGGGCACAGCCTAGATATTCAACAATCGTTGTGGTCAAAAGACTACACGAAACATGGAGAGCGGTCACAAGGAAAAAAATTTAAGCCCATATATTGGTTTCGTGTGGAAAAAACTGGGTTTTTGGTACAGATGTTGCTAAGTACTATATTCGGCAGAAACAGATATTTTAATACTTTAAAAACTTGTAAAAACTTTTCATGCCAAAGCTCGCAAAAAAGTGAAATTTTTTTCCAACAATTGACCTCAAAATCTCGGTCGTTTCTTCATCGGAGAAGGACAATGTTTCTACGAATTTTTTTTCCACGGCGCTACTGGCAAAATGCTTCCTTCTCCAAGTGAAAAAACTTCGTTTTGAAGGGTGCGCCCTTACAAAAAAAGAGCTTTTGAAATCGAAGGTTTTTCACTTGAAGAAGGAGGCATTTTGCCACACTTTTGATACTTCCCGGATGCAACGTTTGCTTTGCACTGTGCAATTTCTTGCTTCTCACCCCATGCCGGCAGGAGTAGCAACATGAAAGCAAGCAAAATTTTCATGAATCCTCACGCCACCCACGTTTATCACA